AAAAAAAGAAAAGTGCGTGTTTTTAATAAATATATTACATGTAAGTAAATGGTTTACTGACATTTCCCATTGAAATTTCATTACATGATCACAATGTACAGTCGCCATCGGTCGTGGTATACCAATTAAAAAAAAATACTTCGATAATAATAAGAATTTAGACGCTGCTTCATACGTTTCGGTTACAAAAATGCCAACTGTGGTTTACCTATTCTGTATATTTACATTTTCTGTACACTACGGTCACTCAGTTCATATGTTGCAGGTAGGTTTTGTTTTCGACATGGAAAATTTCGAAAGAAGGTGGGAATTTTTTGCTTACTGGTAACTCTAAAAACTAGCAGACGGGCCTTTAACAATATATGTAAAAAAGAACTGTCACAAGATCCTTGTAGGTTACTGAGAACCAAAATGTTGTTACTCATCTTAGTGTCTACTCCGTAGTACTTACATATTCTTTGCTCAGTGTATTTCTCAACGCATGGTCTGGTACTTCGTATCGCCTTACGCTCACCATACACAAAGCAAACAACAATTGGAAAATAGTATATTTCTCCACGATTTCTCCTATAGTATGGGTCCCAGTTTTTGGTGTTAATATGAATATTTCATATTGAAAAAATCGCGAGAACCTACATCGTTTGGCTTAGATTTTAGCTCCTATATTTACTAAGTAACTTTAAATAGAGATAAAAGAAGAAGCAGAAGAAGTAAGTAATCTTTTATCAACAGTTTATTTCCATTTGTTCTGACATAACTACAGCAGCCTTAGGGTGCGTTCCACTCAGCGCTCATAATGAACAAAACGCTGTTCAGCCGTTCCACATAACGACCGCGGACGTTGTGGCCGCGACGAAAAGTTCAATTATGACGACATGATACTTACGCGAAGCTTCTTACTACCCATCACAAAAGATTAGTCGAAGTGATCGTTGAGAAAAATAGCGGCATTTTCACAATTCCAAGCATCAAAGATGGCCATAGAAGCAAAATAGAACTTTCGGTATTACATGCAGAAAGAGATAATTTAAATTATAGACAAAATTAGCTTAAAATAGCTTCTGATAGTTTCAAATTCTATTAATAAACAGTTTTAAATTGTCAAATTCAATATAAAAAATAATTTGTAAATTTCTAATAATAATTTAATGTCTTATTAAACCAAAAATAAAACGGCTTTGTACAATTTTTGTAACAAGATTCTGAGTAACGATGTAAATGTAATGTGTAATTACATTATCCTTATTTTACTTAATAACACGAGGTCGAAGTTAATAATTTTGTAAAATCATATTCCATTCTTCATCTGAACCGTATGAACTAGTACTTTCTAGAGCATTTTTACAACCTCTTGTCAAATATCCAAATGAAACGGCAAAAGCCGTTTTAATTACATTTGAACGAATTAACGTAAATTAATTGCGGATGTTTCTGGGCGATGGTCGCTTAGCCTTTCGGTGGATTCAGGTGGCCGCTTGCTCGTTTGCCATATAAAGAAATATATAATTTTTTTTTTCAATATAAACAATAATGAATTAAGTTTATTTTCAAGGCTTACAGATTATAATCTCATGTCTTATAGCTTTTACTTTATTTTTACCAACTCGAGGCAGTTCGCCTCCACAGTCAAAACGCTCTACAATCCATTCTATTAGAGTCTACAGTGGAGCGGAAAAAATTGCGGTTGTGAGCGTGATCATTGTGAGCGCTTATTGGAAC